TAATAATAATAATAATAATAATAATAATAATAATTTTAATGTAATTTCGAATTCTATTAGTTGACTAATAGATAATGTAGCCGATACTTGACTGTTTTGTGTTGCATTAATTTCTTATTGCAACTTAGGATCCAATGTGCTTTACCATTTCAAAAAATTAATGCTTGCAATTAATTTTCGTTCCTAAAAAAATAGTCTTGTGATAGCATAGCTACCCTCTTTCAACTTGTAACTAAATTTAAAGATCAAAATAAATGTATGAGTAAAAGTATAAATTTATATGAAGATTTCGGGACGTAAAGTAAATGAAGTCCTCTTCCTTCTTTACGAATTAGGATTTTTCATTAACCGCATCGAGCAAAATAAATATACTCACATCGAAAAAAATCTAGATTGAGATTGTCCTGATGTCTAACTTCCCATTTACGTTAAATGTCTATTAACTATGAAATTTTATTTAATTTTTTTTATATATTATTATCATCATCATGAAATTCATATTGTTGATCCATTTACTTTGCATCGATTTATAAATATGATAAAAGAGCATATTAGTGATTTATTTATGAATGTGAAGAAAAGAAAGTTATGATGAAATCGTGAGGCACAAGATTCATGAACTTTTCTTTTATTAATAAGTCCTTTCCTTTAGGAGGAGGGTTCTTTTTCACCCCCTTTGCTTTAGATATCACCCAAATTGATTAATGAGTGCACATGAATTATTGTGTATATATAAATACCACAAATCTTTTATTCATATGCAAAGGGCCCCCCATCTATTTATTATTCTCTCTTCACAAATAAAGGAGGCTCCTACAATCTCGTGTGTTGGGCCCCACACCCCACTTGCCACATCACTTAATGCATCTAGCCACCTTCCACGTGTCATTACCTCATTCATCGTCACACAACCACTGTTATAGCTTATAATTAGTGTTTTTTATTATTATTATTTTATTTTTTATTTTATTTTTATTTCAAGTTTATTCTAAAAAATCGTATTTTTGGATATTGAGTTCAATTACATTTGAAATTCAATAACTTTGTTTGGATCAATTCATGTATTGTACAAATATTACTATTTATTACATGAATGCGCATAATTGTAATAGTGGGTGGAACATGATATATATATAATACATATATACGTACAAACATATCATGAGTTGATAATATTATGGGCAGTTTGTTTGTGCATTAATGCGATCGATCACACCATTTAATTAATAAATAAATTAATTAAGGTATCTGTATACATAATTTGAAATAAATAAATAGTTGTGCAGGCATTAGGACCAAACATGTGCAGTACCTAATAAATCAGGTTTGTGCTTCTTATCAATACTACTGTTTTAATGATCTATTTATATAATTTATATAAACAATACACATAATTGAAGTTGACTATTTTGCCACTAACTTCATTATTATTCATTCATAAAGCTTTTAATTCACATGAACCTAAAGTTTTTGCCTGCCTGCCTGCATGCCTTTACACATAGGAGGACACCCTATAATTAATTGCATGCATCTTGTGTGGATCATCCCTTAATTACCTGCATTTAATTTTATTAAATGATAAATTGATTATATTTACGAGTTACTACACAACATGTAACAAAAAATAAATATATAAGCAGGGGGGACCATGGAATTGAATTTGTAGGTTTGTTCCAGCCATGTTATGGTTATAACAATTAACAGCACATTCTTATTACAGCTAAGATTTCCAGTTGTAAGAATAGGGCCCGCCCCTTTATTTGATCATTCCATTCATTTTATTATTGCATTATTATTATTATTATTATTATTATTATTATTATTATTATTATTATTATTATTATTATTATTATTATTATTTCATTTCTGCTATTTTTTTTATTTCTATTTTGAATACTTATATATACCAGATGATGATAATAATATAAGCAGTACTCATTCCATCTAATGATCATCTGTAATCTGTATAAACAGCTAGTCACATTGTCTCGGCTTGAGGGTACACACCAATTTCACAATTTATAATTAGGGTAAATAGCACATAACCCCCTTGTGGTTTGACCATTTGGCACATAACCCCCTTGTGGTATCAATATAAGCACATAACCACCTTGTGGTTATCAAGTGGGTAGCTAACGTTAGCTAAACTAACAGAATAATGTAAATGTCAAATATACCCCTCTAAAGTTCATGTATTTACC